GTTCTACGGTTGATGATATAACTCCTGCATTACCCATAATAAGGAATAGACCATAAATTGCCATAGTTTAGGGTCCTTCGAGTATTGCAGGGTGTACCCAGAGACTCCAATACCCTTTAATTAAGGAATATACCTTAAATCATATTAGGGATCCTACTATAATTTAAGGTCTATTCCTTAATTAGGGGATATTGGAGCCTCTGGGTATATCAGCAACAGTAGTTGTTAGAGGTTTGCTAGGTCTGGGGCTTGGGCCTGAGGGCCCGACAGATATCTAAAAGGTTTAGGGTTTAGGGTTTAGGGTGTAGGGTTTAGGGGTTTAGGGTTTAGGGTTTAGGGTTTAGGGTTTAGGGGTTTAGGGTTTAGGGTTTAGGACAGATATCTAAAAGGTTTAGGGTTTAGGGTTTAACAGAAAGCCCCCGATCACCATTCAGCGGAACCCGAACCTGAACCCTAAACCCTGAACCCTAAACCCTAAACCCTGAACCCTGAACCCTGAACCCTAAACCCTAAACCCTGAACCCTAGATCCTGAACCCTAAACCCTAAACCCTGAACCCTAGATCCGAACCCCCCCCAAAGACCTGATCAAACCCCCCGTGGAGAGCCGGGATGAACATCCTGATAAAAAAAAACCTAAATCCTAAACCCTAAACCCCTTTTGGGGAACAAGCGTCCTATGACAAACCCCACGACTGGAAGGGCTCATAGCTTCGCCAACTTGTTAAACTTGGGGTTTCGGGCTGAGGGTTTAGAGGCTTTTAGGGTTTAGGGTTTAGGGCTTTAGGGTTTCGGGCTTAGGGTTTAGAGGCTTTTAGGGTTTAGGGCTTTAGGGTTTCGGGCTTAGGGTTTAGGTCTTTTTTGGGGGTTCGGGTGTTTGAGGGGTTTGGTCGAGCTTCTGGTTGGAGTTTGGGTATGGGTGTGAGCTTTGGTAGGGCTCTAAAGCTTTCGCATGTCGGGATTTAGGATGTAGGGCTGGAGGGCTTGATGGGTAGTGACAAGTGGGGCTATATGTCCCCAAAATATGGGTTGTAACTATAGGTACCCCCCTAAACCCTAAACCCTAAACCCTAAACCCTAAACCCTACACCCACTTAGGACGACCCTTGAACCTCCGAGTTGGGGTGGTTCAGATAGGAAAGCGACTCCCAAAGCCCCGACAGAAACACGAGACCGAAATCTAACACTCAACGGGAGCTGTAGGGTTTAGGGTCCTGCTTGGAGATTCTGATGCTCACCAATCCGGACCGTCGACCCAAAGGCACCGCATCGTGTGTTTTAGGGTTTAGGGTTTAGGGGTTTAGGGTTTAGGGTTTTCATAATCTTATTGTTGGTGCTATCATTGTTACTATATTCTTCGCAGTATTATTAGTGATAGTGGGGTTTATGCCCTCTGTAGGCATAAGTTATACATGCCTGCATCGACGGCATGAGCAAAAGAGGGGTTTAGGGTTTATCATACAGCCCAATTCAAAACCCGAAGCCTAGCAACCTAAAGTGGAAGTCGAACAAACCTACAGTATCAGTGGAAAATACCTCATACGATGCCACAGCATGAAATAACTGACCCGAAGATCATGAACGCCCTAAATCTCTAAATCATGAACCCTAATCATGTAAACCCACTAGTCACGCGCCTGATGAACCCTACAAAGCCACAAAGACCCCAAACCCTGAACCCAAAAACCATGTAAAAATAAAACCCGAACCCTAAACCCTAAACCCTAAACTCTAAACCCAAAAACCATGCAAAAATAAAACCCGAACCCCGAAAGCCTTGCAAGCGCGGATTTGGTAGCGGAGCTTCGTCACCTCCTTCAGCCGTTCCTCGTACCTCGCAGAGGTTTAGGATTCAAGGGGTTAGGGTTTAGGGTTTAGGGGTTAGGGTGTAAGGCTTCGGGTTTTAAATGTAGGGATTAAGAGTTTAGGTACGGGATTAGGCGGTTTCGGGATAAGGATCAAGGTTCTATGTTGGGGTCTATGAGGGCTCCTCAAGAATCTTACAGAAGTGCTGGAAGGGTACAAAGAGCCCGACACCGACTTCTCAAACTGTATAACAGTTCTTAGTGCGAGCGAAGACGAAATCCTAGTGGGTGCATTGGTATTGCTGTTACACTGCTACAGCCATCGCTACTTCCCTCTTCTGCGGCTGGGAGCAGCGCGCAACCCTAAACCCTAAACCACACTCCTTACATACTATACTATACCCCGTACCCGAAACCCAGTTCAGCAAAGGCTTTCGGCTTTCGGATGTATCTCAAGCCTCGAGCTGAAAACGGTCATGTTTAGCGCTTAGGGTTGGGAATTCAGCATGGACCTGTCCGTTTGCGGGCAAGCTCCCCTAAACCCTAAACCTAACCAATGGTAAGGATTTGAGCTGCCTGCTGCAGTACAAGGATGCCGGGAACATAAAGGAATACTATAACAACCCCTATAAACCCTACTTGGAGGCTCAGGGGTAGTTATTAGTTGGAGGGTAGCGATAAGTGTAACCCATATTGGAGGACTTATAACCC